GATCTTAGCATTCCTTCTTTTGGAGCGCAGCTCTGAAAGCACGGACTCATCGCCCCACACTGCGATGAGATCCAAGACTTCCCGATCAGTCCATGCTGGGGCCCTCTTTCTATTAGATTGCACGGCCATCTCTGCTGGAGAGCTCTGCATAGTTGCCACTGCTGCTGAGCTCCCCTCGATGTCCAAAGAGGAACTGAGATTCAAACTGCCCAGACAGGAAAATGAAAATGAATTCAAATTTTCCCGGGGGTGTGGCTGGTCAGAGCATCCGAGCTCGGACTGCTGTCCAGAGCGTCAACAGAGTGGTGCACTGTGGGATAGCTCCCGGAGCTATTACCGTCGATTTCCATCCACACCTAGCCTAATTCGATATGGCCATGTCGAATTTAGCGCTAATCCTCTCGTTGGGGAGGATTACAGAAATCGATTTAAAGAGAGCTTTATGTCGAACTAAATGGCTTCCTGGTGTGGACGGGTGCAGGGTTAATTCGATATAACGGCGCTAAAGTCGACATAAAAGCCTAGTGTAGACCAGGCCTAAGAATCTCCAGCACTGTGTGAGGTAGGCAAGACATGTAAACGTAATTTAACTTCTGCTCTTTCTCAGTCTCACACACACAGTTTTAATTCCCTCTCCCCACCCTACTGATATGCTTAGCAGAGCCCATCCAGAAGTTAGATTCTTACAGCTGCCTGGACTAACCAGCTAACTCCTTGCAGTGGGGCAGATGAAACTGCAAAGTGTGTGTCGTTAGGCTCTTGGGAGTTGAAGAATGATAACACAGCACTAGGAACAGATTAACTTTGGAGAGATTTGGAGTTTAAAATAGAAAAGAACAGGTTTTATATGGAATCTATTGAATTATGGCAAGATACCAGCAGCCATTATTCATAACTATTTTTAAGGGACCACACCCAACCCGAAAGTACAAAATGCAGCTAAACACTATCGTTTTCAGCTGCAACTATCCCATGCAGGGGCTTCTTTTACAGCAATGAAAACACTTAATATCTTATTAGCAGTACTGACGCTGCAACAAACTCTGCTAATTAGAGCTATTAAAGATCCAGTTTCAATGAAAACTAGTGTTTAGAAGGGAAAAAGTCAGTTGATCTAGTAGTCAAGGCTTCTTCTGTACTGTTGTGTGAGTAATGACTGTGCTAACTGTAATGCAGTTTGAGATGTTTGCATAAATAGAGAGCCTAAGTGAAGTTTGGTTTTCAAGAAAGGTCCAAGTTGTTAGCAGACCAGTAGTTTAATGAGGCATGCTAAGATTATACAGCTGTGCAAGTGTTTCAGCAAGTTATCAGCACACACAAAAATAAGATTTTTCAACACTGCATAAAGCCAAGAATAATTTTTTAAAAGGCTCATGCAAGCACTTTTTAGTCAGAAACTTGAAAGGTCACATGCATTGTGTGGAGATCTGGGTGAAAACAACTAACTCCCTGTGCAGAAGGGCAGGCTGACAGACATGGCCAAAACTAAAGAGATCAATTAATGTAATAAGAACGGCCATACTGGGTCAGACTAAAGGTCCATCTAGCCCAGTATCCTGTCTTCTGACAGTGGCCAATGCCAAGTGCCCCAGAGGGAATGAACAGAACAGGTAATCATCAAGTGTTCCATTCCTTGTCGCCCATTCTCAGCTTCTGGCAAACAGAGGCTAGGGACATCATCGCTGCCCACCCTGGCTAATAGCCATTGATGGACCTATCCTTCATTTATTTATCTAGTTCTTTTTTGAACCTTATTATAGTCTTGGCCTTCACAACATCCTCTGACAAGGAGTTCCACAGACTGACTGTGCACTGTGTGAAAAAATACTTCCTTTTGTTTGTTTTAAACCTGCTGCCTATTAATTTCATTTGGTGACCCCTAGTTCTTGTGTTATGAGAAGGAGTAAACAACACTTCCTTATTTACTTTCTCCACACCAGTCATGATTTTATAGACCTCTGTCATATCCCCCCTTAGTTGTCTCTTTTCCAAGCTGAAAAGTTCCAGTCTTATTAATCTCTCCTCATACGGAAGCCGTTCCATAGCCCTAATCATTTTTGTTGCCCTTTTCTGAACTTTTTCCAATTGCAATATATCTTTTTTTGAGATGGGGCGACCACATCTGCACACAGTATTCAAGATGTGGGTGTACCACGGATTTATACAGAGGCAATAAGATATTTTCTGTCTTCTCATCTATCTGTTTCTTAATAATTCCCAACATTCTGTTCGCTTTTTTGACTGCCGCTGCACATTGAGTGGATGAGAACTATCCACCATGACTCCAAGATCTCTTTTTTGAGTGGTAACAGCTAATTTAGACTCCATCATTTTGTGTGTGTGTGTTTTATATATATATATAGTATGTACACCTCTACCCTGATATAACGCTGTCCTTGGGAGCCAAAAAAATCTTACCGCGTTATAAGTGAAACCGCATTATATCGAACTTGCTTTGATCCGCCAGAGTGCGCAGCCCTGCCCCCCTGGAGCGCTGCTTTACTGCGTTATATCCGAATTCGTGTTATATCGGGGTAGAGGTGTATATACGTATAGTAATAAGCTATGCTTGCTCACTATAGGTATGTCTGCACTGCAAAGAAAGGTGGGATCTTAATGTGAGTTAGCTTGTTAGCTAACTCACATTAAAATAGCAGTGAAGACACAGCAACTCTGCTCTTAAGTCAGGTTAGCAGCTCAAATTCAATCCCCTAACAGGCTTTAACTCAAGCTGCTAACCTGAGTTAAAGGCAGAGTTGCTGTGTCTTCACTGCTATTTTAACCTGAGTTACCACCCCCTGCCCTTTTTTGTTTTGCTTTGTTCTTTTGCAATGTAGACATAACCCTAACCAAGTAGAAATCTACTTGGTTCCTGGCCAATGGGAGTGTGGAGCCGGTGCACGGGGCGGGGGCAGCACACAGAGCCCCATGGCTCCCCTGCCTAGGAACCGGACCTGCTGGCCACTTCTGGGGTGCAGCGCGGTGCCAGGATAGGTAGGGACTAGCTTGCCTTAGCCCTGTAGCACTGCCAACCAGATTTTTAACGGCCTGGTCGGCAGTGCTGACCGGAGCCACCAGGGTCCCTGTTCCAGTCAAAAACCAGACACCTGGCAACCGTACCAGGCCCTCCAAGAAAGATGCTCCACAGGGAGCAGCCTTCCCCTCCCCATGACACACACACACACACACACACACACCCCCTTATCTGGAGCAAGGCACTATCCACAAAGTTCAAAGAACCCAATTTTGCAATCATCTTGAAACAGTGAAGTTCATACTGACACACAGCATAAAGGACAGCATGCTGTTAATCACAGCCTGCCATAAGTGAGATTACCACCACCTGCTAACCAACCACACCTTCCAACTCTACTTCCAACAATGGGGGGATATACAATCAAAATTGGGGGCGGGGGGAGTGAAACTATAACAAAAGACTAAAAACTATCTGCAATGACAACAGAAGCCAATAAAGAATCAAAATTTGCTGACTTACCAAAGAGATCTCCTTAGTCCATGGGTTCTGTGTGTGGCGCGGGGATGTTGGGAGGGTGGGGGGTAGGAAGATGATGGTCACAATCCCCATGGGGGCCCAAAACAAGTTAAGGGGAGGTCATGAACACCCTGTCTTTATGACTAGATAAAGGGGAGAAGAGTCCTGAAGCTTTTTTTGTTTTAATACGTGGTACGGAAAAGGTTGAGAACCACTGTCCTAGCATGTCTCTCCATGTAGTAACTGAAGGCAAATGCTGACTTTTTAAAACGGCAGCCACGGCAGCACATTCATTTCTCAGATTATTTATCCACCTTGAAGTTCTCAGTCCACAGCAGGTCATAAAGCATCTCTTACTAGGTTCTTTTTCTCTAATCCACACATAATTCTGTAACTTGTATACTGAATTGAGTTGTGTACTAGAAAATTCCATTCCTAAATAAGCTATTGCTCCCATAAACAATACCTGTAATCACAAGTCTTCTCCACACGGCCGTCACTCCTAATAAAACCCTGTCCCTTCACAAAATATCACAAGGGTAGCAAAGTCACATGTATTACCAGCAGCAGGGTTGGGGAGGTTTATTATACTGAATACACCTCACTAAAATTGGTTTTCAGTGCTGAGAAAGTCTGTTGGAGTTTCCCTTTTTAACAAACCCCCTTCCAGAATTACGCCAACATGATGCTGACAAAAAACAACAGAACACACACCAAATACACACTACAACCTTGTTCAGTCGAAAGACTGCAAAGATTGAAGACTCTAGATCAGTGGTTCTCAACCAGGGGTCTGGGGCCCCCCTGGGGGGCCACGAGCAGGTTTCAGGGGGTTCACTAAGCAGGGCCAGCATTGACTTGCCGCAGGGGGCTGAAGCCCAGGGCCGCGAGCCTTGTCACCCAGGGCTAAAGCCTGAACAACTTAGCTTCATGGGGCGCCCTGTGGCATGGAGCACCAGGCAGTTGTCCTGCTTGCTAGCCCCCAACGCTCGTCCTGGCTTTTATATGCAGAAAAACAGTAGTTGTGGCACACATGGGCCGTGGAGTTTTTATAGCATGTTGGGAGGGCCTCAAAGAAAAAGTTTGAGAACCCCGGCTCTAGAAGACTTTGGCAGTCTCACTTCCCATCAGGTGTTACATGTTAAATTAACATCCTCCCCCACGCACTAGACACATCTGCAGTTCAAGACATTTTACATTTGGACTTTACAAAATTAAATTAATTCCTTGCCAAAGTTCTATAAGTTATTAAAAGGTCACCCAAAAAGAAAAACTCTGGTTATGAAGGATTCTGGACAGATTGTAAAACATGAATATTGCACATCAGAATATCTGTCACATCTAACGATAAACATTTCAGCCATGCTATTTTCTGTTTTCACAATACCTTATACTTCAAGGGAGAAGAAAAACAGAAGGATCAGTCCTTGGAGAGCCTTCAAGAGGACTCAGGCGACCAGGACCTTGCAGGATCAAGCCCCCATGGACTGAACGAACAGTAACATACCTTTTGATCTTCTGTGAACTCTGAGTTGTTGTGTTGAGACTGGGCCTCTTTCTGTAGATGTCTTGCTAATCTGGATGGGCAAAGAAGGGGGAGGAGTATTAAATATTTTCTGTAGATTGGGAACAACATACTGAATCCCATGGTGCTGTCTTCAGAAAACATGTTAGCTAGAAGTTTTGTAGACTGTTGTGCTTGCATATTCCTAATATTCAAAACCCTTAACTGTGGACATTGTATTGACAAACACATGATCACACCAGACAGTTAAACCAGACGTACAGGAGAGCTACAAAAGGTAAGAGTGGGATTGCATCTTTTTATGATGTATAAGGACCACCTAAAACTTTCTAATATGAAAAACAAGCACAACTTTTATTCAGAAATACAGGTCTTGTTTACCCTGGATAATTCTGTAATGACTAGAAAACTCCTGAAACTAAAGCATCACAAGTGTCAAAGTAACAATTTTTACTCTAACTTTATTAACACCTATTTAACTCTAATGACAGACATTCTGGAGAAGAGAGGTCTGGTGAAGATTCAATATGCCAACTCCCTCAGTTAAGGGGGAGGGATAGCTCAGTGGTTTAAGCATTGGCCTGCTAAACCCCAGGGTTGAGAGCTCAATCCTTGAGGGGGCAAAATCAGTACTTGGTCTTGCTAGTGAAGGCAGGGGGCTGGACTTGATGACCTTTCAGGGTCCCTTCCAGTTCTATGAGATGGGTATCTCCATATTATTAAAGATGACTGATTATCAAGAGACAAGAGGTCTTCCAGAAAAAGCAGATTTTACATCCCTGAGAGGTCTAAAGTAAAAACAAGCAAACACTTTTCAGAAGCACCTTTCAGGCCTCCTATATATAATAAAGGAGCAAAATGAGGATTTGTGCATATCATAGTAGAAGGGACTGGCAAAATCACTTGCTTAACAGAAGTGGTCTTCTCATGAAGCTGGAGCAGAACTGGACTTGTTACATTTGGGGATACTTTAGACAACCTCCTGCCTTGAGAGCCCTCCAATGAAGGTGGTCACTTGGATAGGTTTCATTGTACTTTAAATATTAAGTATTAAAACAAGTTTAATATTAATATCTATCATACAATCAAAAGACTGTCACACTTCAGTGCAGATACAACTGTGTAGCCCCTCAGAATGCACTATCAGAAATTAGGAGACCAGAGTTTTTCTCTTGAATTGACGACTGACTCACTGTGACACATTGGGTAAGTCATTTAACTTCTCTGGACCTCAGTTTCCCCATTTATCAAGCAAGGGCGGTAATTACCAGTCTCTGTAAAGCACTTTGACCCTTGGTTGGAAAGCACCAAGTGCAAAATATGCATTTATTTGATTTCATCATATTTTAACAAATTGGATATTGTTTAAAATGCTAATTTTCTTGATAAAACTGATAGAGTAAGGCTCATAAAAGCCAATGCCATCTGCTAATGGGCAAGAAAGCATTAATAGGTCTATCCGCTATCATAAAGCATGAGCGTCATGGAATTTAATTAAGCCAAGGAAGAAAAAAGCATGGTTACTTATATAGAAGAGAACTTCTAGGAATCTAGGATATAGCCCTGACAATACCATACACAGGAGAACTTGATTCTTTGAACGAGGGAGCACATTTTGAACTTGTTCCCTCTCCAGTTTTGTGAGTGGGATTTCTAAATTTCCTTTGTTGTTAATTAAAAAAAAAAAAAAGTTAAAGATACCCAAAGTGAGAACAAAACATTCTGTTTGACCCGAAACAAGGTGGTTGGAGAGAAGGGGGGGGGGGCATTTCTTTTTGCTAGGAAAATCAAAATATTTTTGTTTTGGGTCAATCTGAAATGATTTTTTTTTCCAGTTCAGCCAGAAAACTTAAAAATCTATTATTTGCACAGCTCTATTCATTTACTATTGGAAAGAGGGTGCCAACATTAATCCTAATGGTGTTTTTGTTTAACTTAATGCTTTTCTAATGTGGCTGTTTTTACAGATGTCACATGTTAACAAGACCCTTACTCTCTCTGCAGCTCAGTTTTCTCATCTGTGAAATGGGGACAATGATACCTACCCTCCTTTACAAAACACTGAAATCTATGGATGAAAAACTCTATAAGAGCGAAGTATTATTTTTATATGGATGAACTGTTACTTTCCAGAATCTTTTCAGAGGTTAAACTTTTAATCCTGTTCTAACACAGCAACTGACATCCCTCCATTCTAATGAGGTAAGAGGTATTAGAGCACAGGTTTATAATTTCAATTTGGAAACAAGATGCATGAAAAAGCTTTTAGAGGCAGTTTCCTCAAAGATCTATGGGAGAACAAAAACTCATTACAAGTTTGCAATAAGTTACTGACAAGGAATTATTGGGATTGCATTCCATGTGAACTTGAAATAGAATCACAAACTTTCTTTTAAAAAAATCCAATATATCAGCTCTTCTGAAGTTTCTGTAGAAGTAGAATTACAGAATTGGGTATATGAAAGGGAAAGGAATATCTCCCCACAACTGCTTATCATTCTGAAAGGTCATTTAAGAAACTTTTTGGAGGAGAAAAACCTAGAGAAATTCAAAAGCTCATTCTTGATTCATCTCTCACATGCATACTGTACTTGCTAGTAAGGAAGACTTCATTGGTACCAGATTCCAAAAACCTTAGTTTTTGTAAAGTGTATCTTCCTCAGTAAGAAACATAATATTGAAAAGGCAAAACCTAGTTTTTACGGTAAACACCAATCCTTCTACAAGTTCCAATTCAAAAACTGTATTTGGGAGGAGGGGGAGAATGGATGACTCAGGAGATTAGAATTGGGATGTAGTGACTTTCATTGTCCTTCCAACCTTGGCTTAGGTCATTTGTGACCAAAAATTGCTAGCATTAAATGGCTGTTCAGCAAAGAGTCTGATCATCTCAGTCAGATTCCCAGTGAATCAGTTTAACACAAAACACCCTGCAATTTATACCAAGACACTCTTGTTGGCAGTCTCAGTAAAAAAAATATCCAAGGACTGAATGGGCCCTGGATCCTCACACTCCTAGACATGGTCCTTTCAGAACAGGGTTGAGATACATTGGCAGGAGAATGTGTGGACGAAGCTTGCACTTTTGCTTACTGTATTGGTCCTGTTCTAGGAATAAAGAGACTTGGGCTGTTAGTCCAAACACTAACACACACGGAACATACCTGAACACTGCAAATGTGGTTTGTTAGTTATTCTTGGATTACCTTTAAAATTTTAATTGCCAAAAAGAAAGGAATAGGTCTATAAGCCACATTGTCCTTTTCCCCCATTCAGCATCTACTTTCCTGAATCAAGAACATAAGATTTGAGAGAGAGATTGGATGGAGGGTATTTAATTTAGGAGTATAAGTTTCTTGAGGCGGGGACTGATGTCCTCTGTGTAGCATTGAGTGTCCCAGTGGACCTTTATAAATGAAAAATAATGCAATGGTCACATGCCAGACTTCAGCATTTGATGACAGCAAGAGCATTCCAGTAGAAAAAACTGGGCATTTTCTTACCACCCCAATTTTTTGTTTTTAGGATGTTAATGTAGTGCTCATGTAAGGTCTCTGACTGATAACATGAACTGTGGAAACGCAGATTTTCCCAAGCCCAGGTCACCCAGAAGGGGCCATTTTCCAGCAGTCAGAAGGTAATTTAATTTACACTGCTCACTGACAAAATAAAAACAAAGGAGGAAATAAGGATTCCACAAATATGTGAGGGATGTAAATGTTACAGAAGCAGAGTATTTATTTAAGGGTACTACTTGAGGTATAACTAAATGTAGTGGGATGAAATTTTAAAGAGGAACACTACACGTTTTCCCTTGTTGCATAGCAGGAGGAAAAGAGTCCTGACAATTAGATCATGGAAATTTGACAAAGCATTTTGTAGCAGGGTGGTTACCCGCTCCTGCCCTGTGGGGCTTGAAACAGCCTAGGAGAGGGCTGTGGCAAGAAGCCTGGGCTGATTGGGGGAAAGCTCAGCTGGGGCCATGCCCCAATCAGGCCCAGCTGGCCCCTATAAAAGGCTGTGAGACAGAGGCCCAGGCAGTCTCCCTCTGCCTGTAGAGAGAGAAGGGCCTGGCTGCAAGGTGCCAAGAAGGAAACCTAGATTGGAGCAGGGCTAGGGAAAGGCCTAGGGAGCCGGGGAGCTCCAGCCTAGGAAAGCCCCAGGCTGCTTGCCTGGTAAGGCCCATTAGGTATTGGGTTGCAGGGGGCAGCCCATGGGTAGGCAGAGGCAGCAGGTCCGAACCCCCTTTGCCTATGATGAGTGGCTTACACTGCAATCCGCCCCAGTGAGTGGGGAGGCTAGATGGGGAATGGCAGTAGCCAAACACTGAGGCGAAGTGGGGATAGTGGGTGGGGGTTCCTCGGGAGGGGGAAGACCCTGAGGCTGTGAGGGGTTACTGCCAGAGGGGCAGCACTCCAGGTAAACGGGGACCCCTAGGGGGGAGGGACATGGGGCCAGCAGTAAGTGGATCACCGGCCTGCAGAGGGCGCTCCAGACGCTGGGAGAGCTAATTCCCTGAGGACGACCAGCAGGAGGCGTCACAGGGGTGAGTCCAACCCCTTACAATTTGAAGGTGTGCTCTACGGAATGATTCTGCATCGGGAGATGGACTGATAGAAAAAACCTATCTCTAGCTTCTATTTGTTCAATGATTCTACACCACATTTCAGCTCATGAGGAACGATGAGGATTAAGGTACAACTCCTAAAGATTGCATTGTTACAAAGCACCTTCAGATCTTGCTATGGGGCACTGGCCTGCAACACACACCTTTGTGGCCCTTGAGGTGCATTGTTTCAATCACCCAGACTAAAGTGGTTCAAAACATGTACCTGTAACAGTCTTTATCCCTATATCCACTCCTTTTTCAAGGGTATGATAAATTTTGTACAATGAAATCTGTGCCTTGTAAAATAATATGAAAACTCATAATTTGCTAATCTTTATTGTCCTGGTAAAATGTGTGGCAACATTGTATGTAAAGTTAAGATGTCTACTGTATGATGTTAAGGGCTTGTCTACACTTGCAAGTTTTTTCGATGAAACTAATGT